GTTGGAGTTTTTATGTAGATATCTATCCGTGTGTGTGGGTTTTCTGTAAACGGTGTGACCCAATTGTTGATCAATTGTTGACATATAATGCGTTGCGACCCCTGGTCCAGCAGTTTCTTAGAGCTCCACGAGAATCTTTTCTTTCAAAAAGGGCTCCGCAGTTTTAAAAGTTTGAGAACCCCTTATCCATTGAGGCATGGCAGTTGAGGTGGAGTCTGTTTGCATTCGTTCCACCATCAAGATGTGCCCAAGATCAGGGAAGCCTTTCAGGAGCAGAGAACAGTTGGGATCTTTTGGAGTCTACTTGAAGGTGTCTTCCAAAAGGCATCCAAGGAAGACTTTGCCCACCAACAGCCTTCACTTTTATTAGGATTTCCTTTTGGGAGGTCAGACTTATAGGCCCATGTTTCTATTTAATGCATAGGAGTAGAGTGGCTGATCTGCTCCCGTCCTTTCCAGGCTGTTTTGCCCATGCTTATTAAAGCATATGTCAGGCAGCTGCTATGGGACGATTGCTCAGAGTAGATGCCCATTCTTCCCCAGATTGGGATTTATTGTGTTGGTCATTGCAAAGAATCATAGAATCATAGAGTTGGAAGAGACCTCAGTCCAACCCCCTGGCAAGAAGCAGGAATATTGCATTCAAAGCACCCTTGACAGATGGCCATCCAGCCTCTGTTTAAAAGCCTCCATAGAAGGAGTCTCCACCATACTCCGGGGCAGAGAGTTCCACTGCTGAACAGCTCTCACAGTCAGGAAGTTCTTCCTAATTTTCAGATGGAATCTCCTTTCTTATAGTTTGAAGCCATTGTTCTGCGTCCTAGTCTCCAGGGAAGCAGAAAACAAGCTTGCTCCCTCCTCCCTGTGACTTCCTCTCACATATTTATACATGGCTATCAGGTCACGAAGAGTCGGAGACGACTGAACGAATGAACAACAATCAGGTCTCCTCTCAGCCTTCTCTTCTTCAGGCTAAACATGCCCAGTTCTTTAAGCCGCTCTGCATACGGCTTGTTCTCCAGAACCTTGATCCTTTTAGTCGCCCTCCTCTGGACACATTCCAGTTTGTCAATATCTGTCTTGAACTGTGGTGCCCAGAATTGGACACAATATTCCAGGTGTGGTCTAACCAAGGCGGAATAGAGCATGGGGAGCATTACGTCCCTAGATCTAGACACCATGCTCCTATTGATGCAGGCCAAAATCCCATTGGCTTTTTTTGCCACCACATGACATTGTTGGCTCATGTTTAACTTGCTGTCCACGATCTTTTTCACACGTACTGCTCTCGAGCCAGGTGTCCCCCATTCTGTATCTTTGCATTTCGTTTTTTCTGCCTACGTGGAGTATCTTCCATTTGTCACTGTTGAACTTCACTTTGTTAGTTTTGGCCCATCATCTCTCTAATCTGTTCAGATCGTTTTGAATTCTGCCCCTGTCCTCTGGAGTATTAGCTCTCCCTCCCAATTTGGTGTCATCTGCAAACTTAATGAACATGCCTTTTAACTCTTCATCCAAGTCATTAATAAAGATGTATTGTCGAAGGCTTTCATGGCCAGAATCACTCAGTTCTTGTGGGTTTTTTTGGGCTATATGGCCATGTTCTAGAGGCATTTAGACGTCAGGAGAAAATGCCTCTAGAACATGGCCATATAGCCCGAAAAAACCCACAAGAGCATTAATAAAGATGTTGAACAGGACCGGGCCCAGGACGGAACCCTGCTGATGGCACTCCGCTCGTCACCTGGGGAGAATCATCCTCTGGTCTCGTCCATTTAACCAATTACAGATCCACCTCACCTAGAAATTCCTAGGGAGGATCCTGTATGAAAAGCATTTGTTTCTCTAGCTTTCCTTGAGCTGCTGAAAACCTTCCCCTGGACAAAGGACAAGGAAGGAAAGAAAGGAGAAGTAGGCACAGAGGTTGGGGAGGGGGGAGCATTGTGGAGAAAGCTGTGTTTGTCTTTGTATCTAAAGGAGTGAATAGCCCAAAGGGGACATCAGAGACTCATTTTGTGAATATCCCAATAAGCTTCAATGTGGTTTTGAATTAGTTTGGTGAGAAGGCAGGATCATGGTTGGCTGTATGATTTCTTTTGGGGAAAAAAACCAGGAAATTTGGTGGCAGCAGACATCTAATGTGGGATGCTTAAGAAGCAGACCTGGGACCCATTGTGGGATGAGAGGCAGCCCAGTAATCTTTGTGTCCCTCAGCATTTAGCACATCCTGGTAATTCAGAGAATCCCATTATCCAATGATTGACGTTCTTTAATATTGGAAAGAACCATTCATTTCTGCCTTTCAGCCTGCTGTCTATTCCTTTAACTAAATTTGTGTTTAAAACCAATGAAATCAATGTGATGCTCATATATTAGGAGTTCCCCTTTCTTCTTTCTTTCATCATTTTCTTTCTCCCTTCCTCTCTCCCTTCTTCCTTTCTGCTTCTTTTTTTCTTTCTGGATTATTTCCCTTCTTTTTAAAGAATCAGTGGGTTTCCTTTGCTGGTATTGGGGAACACATCTGAGGACCTGATATCTGTATTTCTTGGTATTTCCATGTTCAACATGACCCATCAAGGGAAGGGGGAAATCTCAGAGGTAAATAAGGTTCCTGGCTTTCATCATTGATCTTTTGCTTCTTTCTTGACCAGGGAAATGAGGATTCTGTGAAGCCACCTCTTGGGTGCAGTAAGGAAACCAATAATATAGAAAGAAGAAATCCTCTCAAGGAGATGATCTTGCTGAATTCTTGACCTCACAGATAAGAAAGGAAGAGCAAAGTATATGCGTTTTTCAAAGTAATTCTACAGCCATATCACAGTTGACATGAAGGAGAATGCATCTAAATGCCTGGTGTGTGGAAAGAGTTTTACTCGGAGGAATGCTCTGCAGCAACATGAAAGGACGCACACTGGGGAGAAACCCCATGAATGCCTGGCGTGTGGACAGAGATTTTCTCATAGTTCAAGTCTATATAGACATCAAAGGACTCACAGTGGAGAGAAACCCTATGAATGCTTGGAGCGTGGACAGAATTTCATTGATAAATCAAGTCTAGGTTCCCATCAAAGGATGCACACTGGGGAGAAACCCTACAAATGCCTGGAGTGTGGACAGAGCTTCTCTCGGAATGAACATCTATATTCACATCAAAGGACTCACACTGGGGAGAAACCCTATACATGCATGGAGTGTGGAAAGAACTTCACTCATAGTTCAAGTTTACGCTCACATCAAAGGACTCACACTGGGGAGAAACCCTATACATGCCTGGAATGTGGAAAGACCTTTGCTCAGAGTTCACATCTACGTTCGCATCAAAGGACTCACACTGGGGAGAAACTCTTTAAATGCCTGGAGTGTGGACAGAGCTTCACTCATAGTTCAAGTTTACGTTCACATCAAAGGATTCACATTGAGGAGAAACCCTATACATGCCTGGAATGTGGAAAGACCTTTGCTCACAGTTCACATCTACATTCACATCAAAGGACTCACACTGGGGAGAAACCTTATGCATGCTTGGATTGCGGACAGAGCTTCACATACAATAGAAGTCTACGTTTGCATCAAAGGACTCACACTGGGGACAAACCCTATACATGCCTGGAATGTGGAAAGACCTTTGCTCAGAATTCACATCTATGTTCGCATCAAAGGACTCACACTGGGGAGAAACCCTATACATGCCTGGAATGTGGAAAGACCTTTGCTCAGAATTCACATCTACGTTCGCATCAAAGGACTCACACTGGGGAGAAACCCTATAAATGCCTGGAGTGTGGACAGAGCTTCACTCATAGTTCAAGTCTACGTTCACATCAAAGGACTCACACTGGGGAAAAACCTTAATGCATGCTTGGATTGCGGACAGAGGTTCACATACAATAGAAGTCTACYTTTGCATCAAAGGACTCACACTGGGGAGAAACKCTATACATGCCTGGAATGTGGAAAGACCTTTGCTCAGAGTTCACATCTACGTTCACATCAAAGGACTCACACTGGGGAAAAACCTTATGCATGCTTGGATTGTGGACAGAGATTTTCTTATAGTTCAAGTCTACATAAACATAAAAAAACTCACACTTATGAGAAACCCTATAGTAAGGTAAAGGTTTTCCCCTGACATTAAGAGCAGTGGTGTCCGACTCTGGGGGTTTGTGCTCATCTCCATTTCTAAGCCAAAAAGCCAACGTTGTCCATAGGTACCTCCACAGTCATGTGACCGGCATGGCTAAATGGAGCACCATTACCTTTTCGCCAGATCTACTCACATTTGCATGTTTTCGAACTGCTAGGTTGGCAGAAGCTGGGCTAACAGCAGGAACTCACGCCGCTCCCCGGGTTTGAACTGGTGATCTTTCGGTCAACAAGTTCAGCAGCTCAGTGCTTTAACCTACTGCACCACCACGGACTCCTGAGAAACCTTATACATGCCTCAAATGTGTAGAGATCTTCCTTGAGAGTGGAAGTCTATGTTCGCATCAAAGGACTCAAACTGGGGAGAAACCCTATACATGCCTGGAGTGTGGAAAAAGCTTCAATTGTATTTCAGGTCTACGTTCACATCCAAGGACTCACACTGGAGAGAAACCGCATAATGCTTGGAGTGTGGACAGAGCTTCACTGAGAGTAGTAGTCTACATTCACATCAAAGGACTGACACTGGGGAGAAATCCTAGAAATGCATGAAGTGTGGGAAAAGGTTCTCTGAGAGTTCAAAAATACATAGACATAGAATTCACATTGGAAAGAACCGTGATATTTGACCCCAGAAAGACTGACACAGAACTTTCCAGACTTTTCATGTTGCTGACACTTTTTAGACATGCATCCTTTCGCGACATGGTAATACAGTTTAACTACCAACCAGAGGTTAAACCAACTCCTCATAAGATTTTAAATATATATTGGGGGGGGGGGTGTGTGTTAGGGTTAGGGGAAGAGATTCATTTCAAATAATCTTTACTGTAAAAACAATGCTTTTGTAATTTTCTCTATACAGTAATTGATCCATGTGCTTCATCACAATCATCATTATCAACAGATTTTATTTTCTTAAATAGAGACGTATGTATTTTGTGGTAATTATTGTGCGAAGAACAAAAATTATAACAGAACACTAATAAAGTATATCCTGCCTGGGAGTCTGGAGTCTCCTCTGGAGGGCTTTGTGCTTGATGGCTATCTGTTGGGAAGGGTTTGACTGTGCTTCCTGCCTGGCTGAAGGGGGTTAGACTGCATGCTCTTTGGGGATCTCTTCCAGTGGAGGTGGAGGGGAAACCATTTTTTATGCGACATGTCTGTGCACTACAACTGACACATATTATGCTTGCCATAGATGCAGGCGAAACGTCAGGAGAAATGCCTCTAGAACAGTGTTTCTCAACCTGGGGGTTGGGATCCCTGGGGGGGTCGCGAGTGGGTGTCAGAGGGGTCACCAAAGACTATCAGAAAACACAGTATATTCTGTTGGTCATAGGGGTTCTGTGTGGGAAGTTTGGCCGAATTGTATCATTGGTGGGCTTCAGAATGCGCTTTGATTGCAGGTGAACTATAAATTCCAGCAACGACAACTCCCAAATGTCAAGGTCTATTTTCCCTAAACTCCACCAGTGTTTACATTTGGGAATATTGATTATTCATGCCACGTTTAGTCCAGATACATCATTGTTTGAGTTCACAGTGCTCTCTGGATGTGGGTGAACTATAGCTTCCAAACTACAGCCCTTCCACTATTTTCTGTTGGTCATGAGAGTTATGTGTGCCAAGTCTGGTTCAATTGCATCGTTGGTGGAGTTCAGAGTGCTCTTTTAATTTAAATGAACCATAAATCCCAGCAGCTACAACTCCCAAATGACAAAATCAATCCCTGCCCCAAACCCCATCAGTATTCAAATTTGGGCGTATTGGGTATTTGTGCCAGACTTGGTCCAGTGAATGAAAATACATTCTACATATCAGATATTTACATTATGATTCATAACATTAGCAAAATTACAATTATGAAGTCGCAACAAAAATAATGTTGTGGTTGGGGGTCACCACAACATGAGGAACTGCATTAAGGGGTCGCGGCATTAGGAAGGTTGAGAAACATTTCTCTAGTAGGGCTGGGCGGTTTCGTTCGTTAATTTCATAATTCGTTATTAATTCGTTATTTTTTTTAATAACGAAGCGATATTGAACCATTCAGGAGCAACTAAAAAACGAAACGAATTTTTCCAATTCGTTTCGTAATTGTTTCGAAATCGATTCGTAATTGATTCGAAATCGTTTCGTTATTATTTCCGCATGTCTGGTGCAAGTTTTAGGGTTGCTGTTTGTTTTTTCAAAAAAAAAATTATCACACCAACAGTCAACAACAGAGGGAGAGGGAAGCTTCCTGTCCCATTTGGAGGTTTTTTTAGCGTATTGCGCGATCGCGCCCACCATTAACGAATTGATTCGTAATTGTTTCGTAATTGTTTCGAAATCGATTCGTAATCTACGAAATTTCGTAAATAACGAAATTTTTTTAAAGGAAAATTTCGGAATTCTTTTTAAAATCGAAACACAAAAACCTCCTAAAAACGAATCGAGTTTAGAAACAAATTTTTCCGTGGTTGCCCAGCCCTACCTCTTCTCTAGAACATGGCCCTATAGCCCGAAAAAACCCACAAGAACATAGTGATTCCAGCCATGAAAGCCTTCGACAATAAACTGACACATAGTTTGGAAAACTCCGATCTAATACATGCAAAGGCAATGCTTGTTAATGCTGAAAAATGAGAGCACATTGTTGAGATCTTTTTCTCATATTGTGGTGCTTTTGCAGAAAGGCCCGGAAATATTGGACTCAAATGAATATGATAATGAATGAAAATAAATAATGTTAGATTTACATTGAGACCAGAATTTTATTTCATAGGAATGCTGTACAGTCATCTAGAAACAAAATTTGGAAGATGGCTAGAGTATATGATAACTGCAGCAAGCATTGTTTATCCTCAGAGATGGGAGGAAATCATTATCCCACACCAGAAGAATGACGGATGAAAATCCATGTTCAATCAGAGATGGAAAAATTGACTTTGCTGATTTCAGAAATCTTTGAGCAACTTCTAAAAAGACTTGGGACTTTTAAAATCATTTTTTCACAACAAGAACATCAGCAGGGGGCAAATGTTGGTTGCTGAATTTATGAATTAGAAAAATGTTTTCAAAAGCAGAAGGGTACCTACATAGGATTATCTAAGGGGAGTAGAATAATAAGGGAGATAATCACCTTGGTGTGAAGTTCTTGAATTAGACCCAGATCTGCTTCTTTGTTTGTTTGCTAGTATACTTTATGTATCTACCTAGAGTTGTATTATTGGTGTGTTTTTTCTGATTTATTTTTGTAGTTCGTTGTGGTAGCTACTCAGTGAGCTGTACAATTTTAGATATATATATATATATAATATATATATATATATATACACACACGAGGTAGGGCTGGGCAACCACGGAAAAATTTGTTTCTAAACTCGATTCGTTTTTTGGGTTTTTTTGCGTTTCGATATTTAAAAGAATTCCGAAATTTTTCTTTAGAAAAGTTCGATATTTACGAAATTTCGTAAAATTACGAAACAATACGAAACAAATACGAATCGATTCGTTAATGGCGGACGCGACTGCGCAATACGCTAAAAAACCTCCATATGGGACAGGGGGAACTTCTGAAGCTTCCCTCTCCCTCTGTTGTTGACTGTTGGTGTGATATTTATAATTTTTTTCACTGATTAAACAAACAAACTTGCCCCAGACATGCGGAAATAATAACGAAACGATTTCGAAACGAATACGAAACGAATACAAAGCAATTTCGAAGCAATTACGAAACGAATTGAAAAATTTGTTTCGTTTTTTAGATGCTCCTGAATGGTTTGTTATCGCTTTGTAACCCAAAAAAAAAAATAACGAATTTTTAACGAATTACAAAATTACGAAACGAAACTGCCCAGCCCTAATACGAGGGCGTTCATTAAAGATTTCCCCTGACTCACGTCCTGTGAACTGAGATCAATGAAACTTGGCCCACTTCTGAGTCCTTCTCTCCGTAGGTGCCACCTAGGGACACAAACTTCTCCCATCTTTTGAAGCAACTCTAAACACCTCGCTTGTAGAAGTCAACAGGTTTCTCCAAAAACTACGCTGCGACTTCAGCTATCAGAGTCACATCATCTGAAAAATGCTTGCCCTTCCAAAATAACTTCATTCTTGGAAAGAGGTGAAAGTCTGATGGTGCAAGGTCGGGTGAATAAGGAGGATGTGGTAGAATTTCAAAGCCACATAGAATCCTAGAGTTGGAAGAGACCTCATGGGCCATCCAGTCCAACTCCGTGCCAAGAAGCAGGAAAATCGCATTCAAAGCACCCCCGACAGATGGCCATCCAGCCTCTGTTTAAAAGAGAGCCTCCACCAAACTCCGGGGCAGAGAGTTCCACTGCTGAACGGCTCTCACAGTCAGGAAGTTCTTCCTAATGTTCAGATGGAATCTCCTTTCTTGTAGTTTGAAGCCATTGTTCTGCGTCCTAGTCTCCAGGGAAGCAGAAAACAAGCTTGCTCCCGCCTCCCTGTGGCTTCCTCTCACATATTTATACATGGCTATCATGTTTCCTCTCAGCCTTCTCTTCTTCAGGCTAAACATGCCCAGCTCTTTAAGCCGCTCCTCATAGGGCTTGTTCTCCAGACCCTTGATCATTTTAGTCGCCCTCCTCTGGACACATTCAGCTTGTCAACATCTCTCTTCAATTGTGGTGCCCAGAATTGGACACAATATTCCAGATGTGGTCTAACCAAGGCGGAATAGAGGAGTAGCATTACTTCCCTAGATCTAGACACTGTACTCCTATTGATCCAGGCCAAAATCCTATTGGCTTTCTTTGCCGCTGCATTACATTGTTGGTGTTGTGGTTCAGCAGCAACAGCATGATGGGACTGAGAGTGCAGATGAGCATGATGGGAATGGGAATACAGATGCAGGTGTGGGATTTCAGATTTCTCAGTTTTCTCAGCCACAGTCTGTAGCTAGAGAGAAACCATTGTTATCACAGGAACGGAATGTGGCTGATAAAACAGCTGGTGAAGGTCAGACTGTGCCGCAGGTGTTAAGAAGGAGTTTACGAACTGCGGCCAAGTCTTGAGTGGGAAAACTGCTTGTTAGCTGTCTGTTTAATGTTCAATGTTTTGATGTTTTACCTATAAGTAAACTGCCTGGGAGCTGATTCGGCGTCAGTTTCAATGTTGCAAAATGGCTCGCTTTATCTCCTGCTCTGGGGCTTGGGCCTTGGGGAAGAAAGCCTGCTTCATGTAACCTCATGCTATTTCCTGGATTTTATGCTGCTTCTTGCTTCAAGTTTCCTGCTTTGACTCAAAGGGAATCTATTGGATTTTTACCTTGTACTATGGACTTTTTACTGCTTATATTCTGATTTGTTTGAAACTTCACAATAAACTTCTTTCTTCATAAGTTTGGCTGGTTTGTCAGAGAAAGCAAGGTGAATTTTAGCCTGAGATACAACAGTTGGCTCATGTTTAACTTGTTGTCCACAAGGACCCCAAGATCTTTTTCACACGTACTGCTCTCGAGCCACCCGTCCCGCATTCTGTATCTTTGCATTTCATTTTTTCTGCAAGTGGAGTATCTTGCATTTGTCCCTGTTGAACCTCATTTTGTTAGTTTTGGCCAATCATCTCTCTTATCTGTTGAGATTGTTTTGAAATATGTTCCTTATCTTCTGGAGTATTGGTTATCCCACCCAATTTGGTGTCATCTGCAAACTTGATAATCCTGCCTTCTAACCCTTCGTCTAAGTCATTGATAA